GCTTCGAAAGAAGCTTGAAAAATGGATGAAACATGCCAAGAAAGCCATAAAAAAACTTTAAATTTTGAAAATGGAATAGACAGATTCGTTCACCTCCTTGAGAGCTATCGATAGATACCTGACTCAAAAAAATGGACACGTCTGTGGATCGGCAGGACTTCCAGTACGACGAAGTACTGTAATCTTTTGGATCTTACCGTATCATAGCGGTTTATCAGGTGTCGTACCATTGCGTACTACAGTCCTATGTGTATTAGCGTAGTATGGCGACGTACTCTGTCGTACTGTCGCGCACTCGAACCTCTGCGGGCGTACTGTCACGAAAATTCGAGTACCGTGGGTTAGAAGGAGGCTCAAGTCGGCCTTCAAGCTCCTTAACTTCACTTTGGCTTATACTAAGCTTGCGCCTAGCGACGGTCAGGCCGAGCTTGGACTTCGCTGCGTAAGCTCAGGAATGATCGCACTAACCTCATTATTAGCTAACATGAGGGTTTGGGATTTAGCAGATTGTAACGTCCTCAAAGGCTTTCTATCGTACGGTGGCGAGCTGTAGCTACCCGGAAACGTAACTCGGGGTTAGCGGGCGGAGCCCGCTAACCCTTTTTGGGTTGAGGTACCCCCCCACGCGGCTCTTTTTTGGGTCCTTTACCCGATTTTAGCCAGAACCATGCATCGGATCGAAAAACTAAATATACCATCAGAACCGGCGGCATGCTATGCACCATATAAGCTATTAAAATTTTCAAAAAAGTTAATTTTCGAATTTTGAGGGCGTTTTTATTTTGTACTCAGAGGGGGGGGGGGGGGGTCTGCGTTTGTCAGGATGTCTGTGTATCCGCAAAACCTTTGTAGTCGTCGAAAAGTGCCTTCCCATGGACGGTTTTGGCTGAAAATTTGCCCAGGTATTGGCTTAATGCTAATCTCGGACAGGAAGTAGCGTTTTTTTTTAAAATAGGCCTTTAAAAATTTTTAATTTAAGTTTGAAGCTCAAAATTTAAATCGCGGTCAAAAGGCATCTTGTCGAGGTCCGTTGGCGCTGAAATTTCTCATAGTGATGCACTGTACATTGTTCTAATATTAACTGAAGAGATTATCGTAAAATAAACGTTCTACGTTGAGATACGGCCGGATTACGTGAAATTCTGAGGTCGCAGTACGGGGCGCACGCCTTTTCTGTCTGGGCCTCTCCTTGCTCTCCCCACTAATAGAAGGCCCCTATCTCGTCTCCCAGCCCCCCTTCCCGCCAATTAACAGACTCCACTTGTTGCAATATTTTTATCAAACTTATTTCGTTTGGATAGGACGATTTTAGCACCGAGGATCTACCTTTACGATAATCACCACGAGCGGTCCCATTCGCGAGTCGATATTTTTTGGCTTTCGCTATTTAGGGTCAGCGCCCAAGGCAAAAAAAAATCATAATAATACTTGGTAAGAAGCGCTGAAAGGGAAATAATGCAATTAGAAAAATCACCAGGGTTGAAAAGCCGCTTCGCGACTTTTTCAACCCTGGCCCCGTCTGACCCGATAAAATTCTTCGCTTTGCATATTTCTTTCGAATTGCGATGAGAAAAAATGAAAAATGGCACTCTCTACCTGATTATATAGGCTACCGCCACTTCCGGCGTATGCTAATTGTTTCCTAACAAAGAGGATGGCCGAAATTTTTACATAAACTGAAATTTAATATTTAAAACAATTAGTTTTGTAAAATCTGATAAGCGTGCAGTCATCCCAGAGCCATTACGCACCTAATGACGTATCATACGTACCTTAAATTTAATCGCCTATCGAGATATCCTCCGGACATGGTGACGGAAGTTGCATGCAAAGTATCACACACACACACACACAAACACTATTTTTTTATATATAGTAGGATAAGGGGTCTGACCATGATGTACGGTTATTATAGCGAGGCCCTAACTATTCCTACGATGGAAATCATCATTTCCTGGGTAAAAACCCTGAGTAAATGCCCAATCCCCAAGAAGAAAGATATGCAGACTAGATGGGTTAGCGCTAATTTTAAGCTTTCCAAATGTCGCATTGAGTCGAAAAGAATTAAGTAGCAAGCGTATTTGTGTTGCTTGTGCTATTATAGATAGCTCCAGTTCTTTTGCATAAAGATTAGGTGACGTGGAGAGCGGCTTTGTCGGGCATTAGTGCGCCTGAGAGTCGGGACTCGTTTGAGGTCAAGCAGATAATGATAGCGACATCTGCCCTACGCGAGAATAATAAAAATATCCCCCGTTTCCGCCGCCAAATACAAAAAAACTCTTCTACACGCAAATGAATATTGTAAGAACAGAGTTCGGTCAAAAAGAGCAAAATTCTCTTTAGCAAAAAAGAGCTTCTTTAAAAAAAAGGGTTTTTGGGTTCGAAAAAAGAGTGAGATTCTCTGATGCAGCAAAAAGCGTCGAATTCCCTAACCTCCCAAACCTGAGAAAATTCGAAGGATCAACCAAAAATTGCTGGCACCTAGGAAAACCTCCCTAAATTCTTGCAAGCCATTTTTTTTTATTTTCGGCATATTGACTTTTTATTTGGCTCCTGCTCTATTCCTAATAAAAATAAAGCTAATAATACAATCGTCATAATTATGCTATTTGTAAGCATTGCGGACTCTAGCTTCAACCACTTCGAACCTTGAGCTGGCAAACCGCGTGGCCCCTTCGTGATACGGCGTGGTGACGCAGGGCATTTAGAAATGGCATAAATGCTCAAGAAGTCAATTTTGTTTGAAACTGCGCTTTAATAACCCAGCAATTTTTGGTTGATCCTTCGAATTTTCTCAGGTTTGGGAGGTTAGGGAATTCGACGCTTTTTGCTGCATCAGAGAATCTCACTCTTTTTTCGAACCCAAAAACCCTTTTTTTTAAAGAAGCTCTTTTTTGCTAAAGAGATTACCACCTTAATGATGCAAATGAGGTCTCTTCGGCCGTCGGATCCCAAATTTTGATAACTCCCAAATGGTCTCCACTATTTCCTTCTTCCATTCATCGAAGCAACGACTTCCACCAACTCCAAAACTAGCCACTTCTGTTGATGTCACCTGCCCCCCAATGGCAGAATCCACATCTTTCCGCCCACTTCACGCTAATTCGTCGCGGGACCACCTCCTGCCCTCCAAGCAAAACCCCCCACATTTGGCCCTCGACAATCACGCACACAAATTCCTACCAATGCAGCTGAAAAGCCTTGTCGTGCTTTGCGCTCTGGTCATCTTGGCTGTGGATGCGCGAGGGGATCGTGTCGCCAGGGTACGGTAGTTTTGAGTGCTTGACTCAAGTCTCTAAAGGCTCTCCCTCTCTCTCTGCCTCTCTCTCTCTCTCTCTCTCCAATTCTAAGTCTAAGCCAGCCCTAAGCTAAGCCCAGCCGAGCCTAAGCTTAAGCCCAGGCCTAACAAGCGCAACCTGAGTTTGTTTCCAGTTCTCATCCGGCTGGCCATGCTCGAGCTCCTTGCTCGGATTCCATCAATGCGGGTTGGGCCGAGGTGTATCACAGGTATGCTTTGTAGCTAAAGTTAAGCCAGGCCTAAGCCAGGCGTAAACCTAAGCCTCCCCTAAGCCAAGCCCAAAACCCAAGCCTAATACATTTTAGACGGCCTCTTCATACGCCAGGAAGCCGGGACCCGGATGGCGCGGTGGCCGCCGCATCACGCAATGGAATGTGGGTGCATTTTAAAGGGATCGTGACAAGTGCTCCAATACCGTAAATTTTCCAAAGTTAGCAGTGTAAAATAGGGATTCCACTTTTAGGCCCGATTTCCGTTCGGCGACAGCTTCCGCCCACCGATGGCCCGCTTCAACGGCTTCCAGAAACGTGTCGACGACGCGGAATAAACTTTATAAAAGACGATTGCCAATAAAGATTTAATTTTGTTGGAGCACTTTAAAGGGATGGCGACAGCGACATTTTTCTTATATCTCTCGCGATCTCTCTCCCTCTCCCTCACTATCGGTCTCTCTCTCGCTCCAAATTGGTAATTTGCGAGAGGGCAACGCTCCCCAATTTGCATCCCGGAAAATTGATTCGCCGGAAAGACGCGATTTTTGGTGAAATTCGGGAAACTATGATCATTTCCAGCGCGCTACCCTTCCGAACACCCCGAGAGCAATGCACCGTGGGTGAAAAACATCCTAATTATGCAAATTTCGTAAAATCGGGTTGCCGCTTTTAGCTCGAGCTGAACGTCTTCAGAGTCTCGGCTCGCGACTGACACAGCTCATTACTAAAGAATTTTTACAGCTCAGGCTAAACCTGAGCTCAGTCTAAACCTGAGATAAGCCTGAGATAAGCCTAAGCCGATCCTAAGCTACGCCAAAGCTAAGCCTAAGCTAAGCCAAAGCTAGGCCCTAGCCTACGCCGAAGCTTAATTGTAAGCCTAAGTGAATCCTACCCAAGCTACTGGACCCTATTCCAGTCCGCGTCCATTTCCTGGTGCGCTGCCTGCAGCTGCTCACCGCCGTCACCCTGGTCTACGTACTGCTCGGTGTCGAGCACTTCGACGTGCCGCTGCGCGATGATAATCATCTTCATTTGGTGCGGCCTTTATTTGGAAACTGACCATATGAGTATTGCGTAGTGGTTAGCGGGCTTGTCTACTGATCTAGAGACCCGGGCTCGATTCCAGCCGCCGTTAAATTTTTGTTTTTTGCTCGAAACAGTTTTCAAGCAAAAACATAGTGCTGGGACCACTCAATTAGATGAAACCAGGGTTGAAAAACCGCTTCGCGGCTTTTCAACCCTGGCCCCGTCTAGGACCTACGAAAGTATTGACTTTGCATAATTACGGAAAACTGATCACCGAAAACTGAAAAGCACGCCCTCCCTTCCTTTTTATGAGCCATTTCCCCTTCCGGCGTATGCTAATTGCTTCCTAACAAAGAGCTTGGCTGAAAATTTTACAAAAATCTAATTTTAATATCGAAAATAGCAATTTTTCAAAACTTTTATGTGTGTGCAGTCGATTCGGGACCCTTCTTTACCTATTCACGCTTCTTCCCTATCGAAAAAATGCTTCCCTGAGGCTGTAGGTGCGGAACATCCAAACGGAAGTGCATGCAAATATACACACACACACACACACACAGACACTATTTTTTTATATATAGTAGGATCCGGCTTGGAATTTTGCAAAACCTGGGAATTTTCTCTCAGGAACGGCCCGGTCCCTCGGCCGAGCGGGTGAGCGTCTTCAAGGCGCTCGTCGGCATCTCGCTTACCGACCCCGAGACGAAGCGTACCCACGCGTTGCCCGTCGACCTGAAACGCCAGATTCCGGTATGCTCCAGTTACTGTATCCGCTGAAAAATCGGGTTTAGCTGGCCGCCGACGACATGCTGGGCGTCAGCGACACGGTGCTTGCCGCGGCCACGTTGGTACGGTAGCTTATCCGCTTTTTGGAAAATCGAGTGGGCGAGCCCCTTCACTATAACTCGGGGCCCAAACCAAAACCCAGTCCTAAACCTCTATTTTTAGCCGGTCCGCTCGGCCGCCCTGATCGAGGTCGGCGACGCGCTGCTGCTCTTCCTCACCATCGTCTACGCCGAGATGAAGGATGGCAAAGTGAAACGGGTACGACTGAACTTCTCGCTGTCGTTGGGCTGGTCGTGGATCATCTCCAAAATCCACAGTTACCCTCAAATTTCTAGGGTTTCCACCTTGGCGTGTGCGTGCTGCGCGTGACGCTGCAATGGGCCGCGTGTGCCTCCCTGTTCGGCCATCGGAGCATGTGGCAGGAGAACTGGCGACTCCGCGGTGCCAACACCATCCCTGAATACCCGGGAGCGTGGTGCAGTGCCATGGTGGGTGGGGCAAATTGTCTCTTCTCGCTTGCCGCCGCGTCTGAAATTTCCCACAACAATCCAGTACACAGAAAAATTTTAGTTCGTGCTTGGGGCGGCCGGACTTGTCGGGCTCGTCGAGCCGTTCTTCCACTCGTTCCTCGGCCACCTCGTCACGTTGACTGAGGGACCGGCTGATGAGGTGGAATATGATGTAGGTTCTCTCTCTCTCTCTCTATCTCGCTCTACTTCGCTCTCTTTCTCTCTCCCACACTCACTCTCACTCCTTCAGATCGTCGTCCAAGACGCGGCCCACATGTCCGCCTACCAACGTCTCGACGACCCGTACGCCGACGAGGCGAAGCAGTGAACAACTCCAGATGACTTCTGCACCCCCGCCGCCAACTGATCATCACCAATCCAAGTCTCAAAACAACCCACACATCACTTGTATCATCGCTTTTGGGTCGCCCTGTTTTGGTGAATAAAAAATATAAAATCGATTGGTATTTGCGCATGCACTGTTAAACCCCCCCCCCCCCGATAAGGAACCAGAGCCGCAAAGTAAACCTCCCCTTCACGATCCGTTTAATCCAACCGTTTTATCTTGATCTCCACGTCCCCCACCACCAATCATTCCCCAAGGGTATGTGCTAGAGGATGGAGAAGCCGAGAAGGTGGCAGATATGGAGTGCCGATCCCCAGGGACAGATTGGGGCCATGGACGTGGAGGGGGGTGACGGGCGGGTGGGCACAGGGCCATCTATGTGAAGCCATGTGTTCCTTTCAAAGCAAACATATTCTATAGTCACGCACAAGCCTAAGTCTAAGCTAAGCCTAAGCCTAAGCCTAGACCTAAGCCTAAGGAGTATTGATTCGGGACCAAGTGCATCTTGTGCAGAATTTTTCACTGATTCCGAATATGTTTTCCAAATTTGCTACGGATCGTTATTCTGAAAGTTATACGGCAATTATGACCCTAGTTTTCACCAAAATGAAGGTATCGTTATGGTTTTCGATTTTCTTCATTAATTTCAACGTCAAAATTGACTAGGCGTTGGCTCGACAAGCATCCTACACCTCAAAACAAGCATTTTAGATAAAAAATGAGATTTTTCTTCAAAAAGCAAAACAAATGATGCATGGCGGGGGTTCGAACCGCCGCCCTGCGCTTGGCAAGCGAGTACTTTGCCAATGCACCATGGTGCCAACTGGCTCGGGTGCTGTCAGAGGGTACTTCAGGGCCTCTGGAACCATAGCCCCAAACAAGGAATAGTGGGCCAGCGTCTGAATTTTTGGCATTTTTCGGCCTAATTGTTACCAAAAATGATTTTTTAAATAAAAGTCCGTAGCAAATTTGGAAAACATATTCGGAATCAGCGAAAAATTCTGCACAAGATGCGCTTGGTCCCGAATCGAAACTCCAAGTTGAGTAAAACACTTTTACAGTAAGTACCGACCCAGGAATTTCCATACCTACAACCCCAAATAAATGGCCTCTATGCCTGAGCTCAATCTATCCATCCTCTACTCCCTCATCCTCCTCCTCCTTTCCCTTCACAACAAACAATCTCGTCGAGTGGATTGAGCCCCCGGGCTACTAACCAGCCGTGCCGAAAGACGGCCCGATTCGAAGATTCTCCCCTGCAATTCCTCAATTTCCTCTGCACCTCCTTTCCCTCCTCGCCCACCCACCCACCCATCTCAACGCACTTCCGGACCCGCCATTTTTGAGGGTGTACTCTTCGGCTAAACTTAGACTGAGGTCTAACAAGGAAACTTCCCCAGCTCGAAGTTGGACTTCGATTAGCCATATAGCCTATCTGATGCAATTTTTCACGCTGATAACGATACCGATATTTATTTTTGCCGAGCGCCAGAGGAACATTGTTAAAAATCGATTTAAAGTTTTGTCATGTTTGGCAGTCCCGCCTCAAAGCCCCTCCCCACGGGGAAGGATCCATCGGCGGCGTGGTGTAGTCGGCAAGTACTTGGCCTACCAATCTAGAGGTCGCTAGTTCGAGTCTTGTCGCTGACGACTTTTTTTGCTTTTTGCTTCAAAAGTGCTGTGAAGGTCCTATAAGTCATCAAGTAAAAAGTTCTTAAGTTTTTTTGAACTTTCGGTCACCAATTCAAGTTATTCGATTCGATGTCTTGGAAGGACTGTTTTTTCCGCCGAAGACATTTGGAATTATCGGTGGATCACCAACTAGTTAATGCACGAGCCACTCGTTTGAAAACTTTTTGAAAAAAGGGGAAGGAAATACTAGGTTCTGCCTTTAAGTTTTTTTTACATCTTATGTCAAGCTTCATTTCTGCACCAAGGTAAGCGTTTTGAGGTCATAAAATTCATGAGGATCGTATCGAGGCGTGTGGTTCGTTGTAGCCATAACTACCTGAATTAGCGACCAAAAGTGCCAAAAAAAACTTAAAAACATTTTTCTTGATGAGTTGTAGGATCTTCACAGCCCTTTTGAAGCAAAAGCAAAAAAGTCGTCGGCGGCAAAATTCGAACTAGCGACCTCTAGATTGGTAGGCCAAGTACTTGCCGACTACACCACGCCGCCGATGGATCCTTCCCCGTGGGGAGGGGCTTTGAGGCGGGACTGCCAAACATGACAAAACTTTAAATCGATTTTTAACAATGTTCCTCTGGCGCTCGGCAAAAATAAATATCGGTATCGTTATCAGCGTAAAAAACTGCATCAGATAGGCTATATGGCTAGTCGAAGTTCAACTTCGAGCTGGGGAGGTTTCCTTGTAAGCCTGAGACTGAGCCTGAGCCCCAACCTGGGCCTGAGATTATATCTAAGCTTGCCTCTCAGCTGGAGCCTGGACTTGAGCATAAACCTGAGCACGAGCCTGAACTTGAGCCTCTATCAACGCATGCGACTCAGAAAGAGCCTCGACCCGAGCCTAAGCGTATGACTAACGAAGCTTAAGCCTGAGCCGGTACATGAGTCCCAGCATAGGCTAACAAGGAGTCGTTTTTAGGTGATATTGGAGTTTTTGAGCGAGACCTAGCTAGTTCGATAGAGAAAAAAATTCTGAGCACGATGTCGTTTTCAAAATCTGCTAACCGTGTATTGTATTCGATAAAAATTAATTTGAAAATCATTAATTTCGCTATCATTTCTCAGCTGACCCGCAGGTTTGGCTCGGGGGATGCGCGTGAACATAGCCCCCTTCAGACCCTGGAACCACCATCATCGCGTGGCATATTGGTAGTGCATTTGCTGCACAAGTTTTATCTTTTTTTTGCCTTCGGGTTCGACTCCTAGCTAGTAAAACTCTTTTGCTTTTTGCTCTGTGATGCCAAATATGGCCTCAATAGCGCTAAAAACCAAAAAGCAAAACAGCTAATCAAAAAAAGTTCCGAACCCGCGAGCATAATTTTGCAAAAGTTTGAAAGGCGCCTGCACTATCCACTAGGCCACCATCTCATGCGGCCATTGTCTCATCTAGGTCCCATGTTCGCATTGCGGCCAATGTCCTGGGCCTGATCCATCTGTGGCCGCGTGGCGCCAGGGAATTTTTTCATTAAAATTAATTTTTATCGAATACAATACACGGTTAGCAGATTTGGAAATCAACATCTTGCTCAGAATTTTTTCTCTATCGAACTAGCTAGGTCTCGCTCAAAAACTCCAATATCACCTAAAAACGATTCCTTGTAAGATGAGCGTGAGCTTTTTCCTGAGCATGAAGAAGCTTACGCGTAATACTAACAAAGCTCCAACACAAACCTCGGGCTCAGGCCTTCGAATCTCTGCAAGCTCGTGCTCTTGCTCAGCCATACGTTTAGAGGGTTTCAAATGGGTACTCAAGGCGCGTTTGCTTCCGAAATCCCCTCTGCCAACCTAACATTAGTGCGTGATACCGCGAAAATAGTACAATCTTCGCTGTGTAGCGCACCCCAATTTCCGGCCATAGATCTCTGCCCATAGGCGTGTCTCGGAATAGGGAGCAATACATTTGTCATCTTCATCCTCATCCTCAAGCCCATATTCTGCCAAGCCTCACACAAAATATTCTCCACCGCCCCGAATGTCTCCAAAAACACGTTTATTTTTATTTATATTCGTTTGAAAAAATTTATAAATCAAAAGGATATCGAAATTTTTCCTAAATCGATTAAAATCTATTTTTAATGTTATCGTCCCTCGGGCGTAATTTATTTTTCCGGCCCCACACTTCCGGTCCACTTTTAAAGACCTCGCCAAGCAGATAATTTCAAATCAGCTGGTCTCAAAATTTTGCAAGATTTCACTTGCGTATTTTAAAGTTGTCGTCTAATCCCTGTATCCCAGCGCCATAACCGTCATCCATTTAATCCGGGGTATTTTTGCCAAAAGCTTTTGATTTTAGGCGTCTGCTTGTCTTTCTCGCTCTCTCCCTCTCTCTCTCTCTCTGTCTCTCTCTCTCTATGTATCAATCTCGTCCAAATATAATAGCCCCCTGGCTCCTACTTGACTTCCGAGTATCGGCCCTTCGCCGTCAGCAGGGGTCATTTACGATTATTGGAGTCCGAGGGCACCCAAATAAGGAGGATATCTGGAAAAGACGTTCCATGATTAGTCGCTCCCATTGACTTCTATTCAAAAAATTCTCGAACCCTTCTGATTGCTCTATTATAATTTTGCGCCGCCGGCTCTTTCTCTCTCTCTCTCTCTCTCACTCTCTCTCACTCTCTCTCTCTCTGTCTCTCTCGCTCTGTCTCTATCTTTTCTAAAAAATGCTGGATGCCATATTTGATTACTACAGATTTCTATAGACTAACGGAATAAGGAAAAACGTTTAATTTTCGTCGAATTTCATAATGCCGGATTCGTATCATAATGTCGAAATTTCAAAATATCCATTTTCGCAGGTCGCTTGGGGATTTTTCCGAGCTGTTTGTTCCTGGCAAAAGACGACATATTGAAATGTCGGCATTCTGAAATGTCGGGATTGTGACTTTTCGACATCCTGAAATTTCGACATTATACTATATCGGCATTTGAAAATGTCGACATCTTGAGATTTCGACATTCTTCGACTGAAAATGCAGAATTTTGCAAGCTGCGAATGCCCTAATTTTGATATTCTTGCATTTCGGCATTCTCATAGAAAATCAAAAAATCGATCCGCTTGCCTTCTATGTCCCTTAAAACTCTCGATTACCATTCCAAAATTTCCTGCCCCCTTTCCAGACTCAAAAATTGCATGTTTTCCAGTTCTCCAGGGGCCCATTACCCTCGCGGGGGCCGAGACGGAGGCGAACACGAGATCCTCAACACCCACATCCACCAATCGTCGACAGGTTTGATTTGTGTCCGGGTCCCTTTAAAATGCCCCGAGGGCATTTCCCATCCGCTCCCACGATGC